CAGTTGAATCGAGAGTTCAACTCAAAGTATCCAAATTCTCAACATCAAATTTTTACATTTTAAACCAAAAAACTATAGATCTGAAAAAAAAATTCGAGAGGACATTAAAAAAACCTAGGGTTTCTTAAAAAAATTCCAGAAATCAAAAAACGATTTCAAAAACATGTGCTCTGATACTACTGTTATTATAGATCGATTTGTAAACGTAAATGAATATTGCAGAGAATTAAAAAGAAGAAGACCAGAGATTTTTCGTCCTTGGAAGGGCCCGGATGTTCAGTCGTGAGACCTAGTCATCCGTTGAGCATCCACTAAGGGAGTTAGCTCAAGATCCACTAATATCAACGAAGAATCAGTACAAAATGTACGAAGAAATTTCAGATCTGAAATTTCTTCGTGTTTCTGTCGCCTCTTCTCAAACAAAAGACCCTCACAAAATCAATATTTATTGACTGTACTAAACAATCAGATGTTTCCACTAAGAACAATCATTTCAATCACAAAGATCGATTACAATTTTACAGAGATCAAAATCCTAATTTTCACGCAGAAAACGGACAGAGATGAAGAGACTGAAAAAAGGATCCAGAATGTGAATAGTGCCAAAGTCAAGTATATATCTAATCATTCCAATAGTCACAATCGAAGGGTTGGAATGAAGCCACGTGGACGGCAGATTCACATCCCTTAAAGGAGGCTGAAATCGTATTTTCAAAAAACGTTTTTATTAGAAAGGTCAGCAACCCGATTGTATGTAAATCGGTCCAATAAAGATGCGGCCCAACAACCCAAGATTTAGCGAGACAGCCCAAAATTGTTAACAATGTTTTATATTTGTGTTTTTATGTAAATGCTTGATTCTTTTTACCAATTTAGGTAGGCATTGCCTTACACCCCGTCGTTGTGGAATTTTTTCTTCAACGATAAGCATAATCGATTTTACTGTCATCGAGAAAATAAAACCACTATTACATGAAAGACCGAGCAGAATAACAATAAAAATCCATTGCTGTGTTTGACGTGTGATTTGGATGCAGTGTTTTCAGCATTGTTCTCTAGGGACTGGATACCTTACAGCCCTGCAAAGTTTTTATACAGGTTTTCCTTTGGAATGTGTTTTATGCTCTCACCGAGATTAATACTAGCAGGTTTTAGTAGATTGTAATTTATCCAGAAAATGCTTACTACTTTATGCTTACAAAATTTGTTTGCATTCATTTTCTTTTATGGTGAAAATATATTGAGTGTGTGCTTTGGTGGGTGTATTTGTCTAAAAAAGATATATTCTGTTTAAATTATTTTTTAATGGAATTTCTGGATTTATCGTTGTCATCATTTATTCTTATTGAATTATTGGTGAATAGTGCATGAGAACAAGGATTGCATTTTGTATTAACATTGTATATACCTTCATCTTGTTCCTTTTAATTTTTAATCTTATCCAGAACTAAATTATTATTCATTGGCATACTAGCTTCTTATGGTGTTCCTTGATGGCAAATGGAGAAAGGGAAACTATAACATTGCTATGTTGGTTTTGTTTAATTTAAACTATCCAATTTAAAATAGGTGGTGGTTTGCTATGATTATCATAATAATATTTGTAGTTCGTGCTTTATTTGTCTGTCATTTTCCTATGTTTCAAAATTTGTTAATAAATGTTTGTCATGTTATCAAGTGGTTAGGTAAGCTATGCTAAGGGTGGATCCCAAAATAAACATCTTAGTTCTTGCCTAATTTGGGGATTACACGTTATAGTCAATATATTCTGTTGCCCAAACCATTTCTTTACTTACAAAGGAGGGAGTACCTGAGTCGAATATCATATTCCTTAACCTCTTTGCAGTATTCGCTTTCTTCCATAAAATGTGCTCATTTCAATCAAAAAATTACTTCTTAGATGTTAATAATCATATTATTTCACAATTCTTATTATATTTATGAATTAAACTTGCTGAAAATTGGTCAATGAATTGATTTTTCGTACATCCATTATTCATGTAACTGTATTTTGATTGTTAAAATAATAGTTTCTCATTTAATAACGAATATGTTTTTCTTGATGCATTCGATTGTTGAAAGTAATGTGACTTTGTGCTTCACTCGCAGTTAATATATAATATATTGCGAGCGAAGCTTTCACTACTAAACCAATGATAATATACTTTTCATGTTATTGCTATCATTGTAAGTAATACTTATGTTACTTATAAATGAGGAGAGAGAAACATTCTTGTTCCCCTCATTTATTAGTAAAATAAGCTTATAACCTTCCCAAACATGCTCCATTATATGTCTTTCACTGTTTCTATAATTGAAAGGTATTTCATCAATCCAAGTTATTGTCAATATAAGGTTCTTGTGTCAAAACTAATTTCGCATGTTGACTCCAGATGTGCCCTTTTTACTGTTATTAGTTGAGGACATTGGAAAATATGCATCAAAGTCATCTTTTTTCTCCCCAACAAATCTATTATTCGTATAAACATGTTGCTAAACCATGGGGTAAGTTATGATATGTTGTTATGGAGCATTATTATTATGTTAACTTGTCATTTGACACACTAACAATATCTTAAAAATAACATATCTCGTGCATGGCACGGGCGGCGAACAAGTGTAAAGTAAAAGTGTTGAAAAGTGATAATGAATACTGAAAAGTAAAGTTAAAATAGTGTTGACGGTTACTTGAGAATTGAAAATAAGAAGAAAAATCTAGAATTTGTTTGAGCTCCATTTTTGAGAAAATATTTTTGTAATAGTGTGTTTTTAAATAATGTGGTAAAAAGGTAGAAAAGATTATTGGATTTACATGTAAATTTATTTTATTGGGAAAATATGTGGTTGGAAATGAACATATATATATATCGTTATTATTATTGGCATTATTATTAAACATATATAGTCGTGATATATGATATCGTTAATGAAAGTGATCATTTCCTCGTAGCATATTTATTGAAATTATATCTCATAGACTTTTTGAAACGAAATATAACCCTTGTTTTGGCTCCATTAAAATGCGTTTTGAGGAAATTGTATTTTTAAAATAATGATTTTTGGCTACAAATGAAGAAAAAATTTGAATTTGCGTGTTTTATTATTTTATTGAAAAATATATAATTAAAAAGAAAAGAGAGAAAATACATTTTAAATAAAATGTAGCTTAAACATATGCAAACTAACAGTAGTTCAAACAAAAATTATAACAATTGATTGTGATTCGATGAATATCCGTGTTAAATAGAAAAGGCTAAACATGAAATAATGCGACTACCATTCAAATGTTTTTGTCAATGATCATTTCATACTAGGCCAATTTTATGTATATTTTTTAGAATAGATTTTGTAAAAACTAAAAAGTGATATTTTGGGAGAAACGTGTGGTTAAAAAGTAAAAAGAAATTATAAAATTATGAAAATAAAATATTCTATTGAAAGAACGTATAATAAAAATAAGTTTTAGAAAACGAATTCTAGAGAATGTATAATGTTAGATTTGATTTTAATTTCTAAAATTGACCAAAAATTATAGTGGAATTTTGTCATCCAATTTTCAATGTTCTTAAGCTCATGCTTGATTCTATTTTTTTCCCCTTTTACATTCAATTTTTTCAAATATATTTCAGTCACACGTTATGATCCATAATTTTTATCAACTTTTTAATTACGTATTTCATCAATTTTTATTAAAATTCGTAGCCAAATCAAACAGGGGCTAAGACTTGCACGTCAATGAGATTCAGGACCTGTTCAGAATGATTTTTGAAAAGTTAAAAAGAATTTTTGAAATTCAAAAACTACTTTTGAATTCTTTTGATTTATCAAAGTGTTTTTTTAATTAGAAGAGCTTTTAGAAGAAATTGGTCCACCATGACTGACTCTAAAAGCACGTCAAAAATAAAAAAATTCGTTTAGAAATTAATTTTCAAACAAAAATTTAAGTAACTTCATTAAAAAGCTCTTCTAGAAAACATAAAAGTGATAACTAATGTAGCCTTACACCCTGTTGGTAAACAATGGGCATTAACGGTGCACCTATAGGGATGATGCTTAACTTACGAACAATATCAAGTTCCCAATCAGTTTCTTTTTAAAACAAAATTCTTTAATTCTCATACTCACCTCTATTTGATGACCATTATTTTGAAAAATATATGTTAAAATGTAAGAAAAATTTATATTTACGTACAAAATACTTTATTGTGTAAATATGTGATTGAAAATGATAATAAAATAGTTTATACGTAAATTTAAAATTTTTCACTACTTTATAACCCATATCTATATCTATAATATATTAAATATCACATCAAGTTAAAACAATTTTTTGGACAATTTTAATCATACTATAATTCAATTATTTCAATTATATTTTACTTTTCATTTTTCAGAATGTAATAAATACTACAAAATTCTTGTCATATATAAATTTCATATTATTATTTCTCAACTAACTAATATTCACATTAATCTAGACTTAATAAATCATGATTTCATGAATCTCGATCTACATGAAATATTTATAGATGAACTTATTTTTATTCTTATATTTAAGATTTTAATATGTGTTTAAATTCTTGTATTAACAATAAATTCTTATATACCAAATGAGTATACAAGGATTGTTTATTTATAATATTTTATTATTACAAAAAATTTGAATCATAGAAGTTGAGTTTTGATAGTACAATTTTCTTCTCTTAAATTTCTATCCTAAATTTAATTTTTTATAATTTGTTTGAGACTCATCAAATTTTCTCTACAAATTGATATCAAATATTACTTTTACAGAACTTATAAAATATTTTAAAATAATATACAATGCACGTTCAGTTTCAATATTTAAAAAATCGGCATTCAAAACTCCATTTTTTCTAATAATGGCCGAGGCTAAAGATAGATTGTACGGGTAGGACCGATTCGAGACAAAATAAACTTTAAGGACCAAAAATAAATTTTACTATTATTTAACTACGCAATCCCGATTCTCATCCCAGCCGTGTCTCTCTCTCTCTCTCTGGACTCACTGTCTCAGCTACTATAAACTCTCAAGCTTGTACCTACCCCCAGGCAATCTTCCTCCCCTCTCTTTGAACATAAGATTAGGGTTTTGCTGTGCAATTAATTTTTTCTTCGTTTGTTAATCTCTGAGCTGATTCCTGACTTATTCTAGTTAATCTAGGTTGTTTTCTTGTTAGGATGTTCCTGTGACGCCACTTAGTTTTATCAAACATCGGTGACAAAGTTCAGTCTTCTTGTGAGTGAACTTTTATTTGGTATATCCTTGGGAGGTCGATTTAGCAGACAAGTAACGAATCTCTCTTAAAACTCGTTTGTTTTCTCTGATTCTAATTTAATCTTTGTTATTTATTTGTTTTACTTCCGGAGTCTGTGTCTTTTGTAATTGTTATCAATTTATTTTTTTCTTAATCATCTGACGTGCTATGAGTATCTGAATTATTTATTTAAGTCGCTTATTATAACTTTTGTACTTAATTTTCCTAATCTGTGGCTGTTGATGAAGCTTTGGTAATTGAAACTTTGACCATTTAACTCATATTTGCCACTTTTTTCCTGCTTTGAAAAGGATTGTCATTTAATTCCTTTGGATATTTTCCTTACAGGACTATTTTCCTCCAGTTTGTGTTCTATTTTCTCCCATAGACTGGGGTAGATGGAAATGCTCATTTCAGTTTGAAGTATTGATTCAGGAGATTGTGGGCTGTCCAAAATGGCAGATATCAGTCCTCCTAGGACTGATACTTCCACCGATGCTGACACTGAAGATAAAAACATGAGGGTGATGTCTAATATGCTTTTCCATGCAATATGTTTAGTTTCTCGCATTTTGTATGCATAAATCAACATATAAATTTCAATTGTTACACAATTGATTGTATACTTGTTTCAGTTGTGCACATTTCCCACATTCCTCTTAGAATGATAATCTTGCAATGATTATTAGTGAATTAATCTTGAAATTCGTTTCTTCTGCAGTTTCAAATCGATCAATCACATGGTATAGTGGCTTCCGATGGCAGTGATAAGTACAGAGATCAAAAGGTTTTCAACCTTTCCTAAATTACATGTATATATACCTTTGGTATGAAAAAAAAAATGATTGCACTGCCTCTTGCAGACACTGCGTAGGCTTGCTCAAAATCGTGAAGCTGCCAGAAAAAGTAGATTGAGAAAAAAAGTTGGTATTTCGTTATTTGCTTTATTTACCACCATTATCTTCCTTTATCATGTCTGGTTCTGTTAATTTATTAGATCAAATTTGAAGTTGTAGCCATGTTATAAATTTCAATCTTATTGTAATAAGGGTTGAACAAATATACATCCATGATCCTGGTAAAGGCATATGGTCGAGATATGATCGGGCATAAACTCTTATGATCATGGTAAAGGCATATGATCGGGCATAAATTCTTCTGATCATGGTAAAGGCATATAATCGAGCATAACTTCTTAGTCAAGATAATATAATCCTAATTCACTGATAGCATGCATGTATTGACTGTGTTGAGCATAAGATATGTTGCTTCTGATGAATAAGTGGTCTGTGTAGAACATAATATATGTTGCTTCTGATGAACCTTTATGGAACATTCTAAAGCCTTTGTATGCTCATTATGTCCTACTTAATCTATCTCATGTAAAAGTAGTATCGCTATCATATATTCATTTGTTCTTTCATATTTTGGCATTCAGGCTTATGTTCAACAGTTAGAGAGCAGTAGAATGAAGTTGACACAACTTGAGCAAGAGCTCCAACGAGCTAGGCAGCAGGTCTGTTCTGTCACCTTATTATAATATGCTTTTATCCTTTCATATTTATTTTCTTCTTAGCCAATATTGTTTTCCTGTAAATGAATATCTTTTCCATTTCTGAAGGGCATATTTGTTTCAAGTTCAGGAGATCAATCTCAATCTATGGGTGGAAATGGTATTGTACTCTTCTTTGACTAGCTGATATTGAATCTCGTATGAGGTGGTTTTATAATTTGAATATAAGATGAAAATTAAGTTCTGTTGTGAAATTTATGATTTACTGAAGAAGAACAAAGACGTGGCAAGGTTGTGAGTTTTGACAAACACGGAAAAAATATGGGTACTTGGAATTGACTGGGAGAGAGTGGAATGTTCGGGAAATGTTGGGGGTTACCTTCATATGTGATCATTAGAGAACTCAAGGATTTGGGCAGTGAGCATAGCAGGGAGTTGGGAGGTTAAAGGTAGCATGTAAAAATCGATTAAAAAAAAAAAAAAAAAAACGTCTGCTTCTGGTAGAAGAGCTCCTCTAAAAGCTCTTCTATTGAGATAAAAAAAAAAACTGCCCAAAGCAGCTTCTTAATCTCAAAAGCACTTTTTGACTTTCAAAAGCTGTAGAAAATGGACCCCTAAACAAGACCTAGATCCTAAAATCATAGATAATTCTACTAACTATGATTAGTGAAGAGGTGCGCACATATGAATGCAAACTCAAGAAGTGAAGGTAAGGGAACTGGACCAGAAGAAGTAAGATGGGAATTGTAAACAGTAGTTATTATCCATTTAGATTTAATTTCTCTTCTTTATACTGCTGGTATGATTTTCTGGAATATGAAGCTTTAATTGATTTAAAAATGAGCTGTGTGAGTCTTTTCCAGAGCTCTGTGGTGGGTGACCTACCTCGCTTTATCCCAACATTGTTGAACTTCCTTTAGAAAAAAGTATGAGGAATGAGTATATGAGAATATCAAGAATGATGCAATTTCCATGAAAACACCAAATTATAAGCTGGTCAAATGGCTAAGGTCGTGTGCCCTCATAGTATTCATATATATCTTCTAAGAACTGAAAAACTAAGCTACTGTAGTGGAATATAATAGAAAGATGATCTTTCTTAAGTGGAAAAATGAAAAAAAAAAAAAAATCATTGAAGATTAAGAAATCACTGAAATGTAGAGAATAAAGGTGCTATAGTTTGTAGGAAAATATGAACTAGGATAGTGAACATGTCACTACACTTCCATGAAGTTACATCCATTTACTTGGTGGAGCTAACTTGCAAGTTTGGGATGTGAGCTGTTGTTCTTTTAGATATTATCAAGGTTCTTTTCACATTAGATATTCGTTGAATTAGTAGTTTGGAACACAAAATTCCGCCCTATATACGTTAGTGCCGATCTATTTGAATAGTTCAGGGAATAATCTTCCGTGCTTGTTCCTAGGAAAACTAAAAAACGTAGCAGGTATAAGTCGGGGGCAGGGGGTGTGACAATGTCTGCAAACAAAGGCAACAAAGCTGCGATTGAAGGACGAGAAGATGCAACATGACGGGTGGCTAGGCCCCACTACAAGGAAAGATATGAAGCAAATAAAGATCAATAGCTCGAAGAAAGCACCACACGTGGAACACTGGATTATATCAACTCAAACCCCATTGGGTTGAGGGCTGTCTTCCAGCTCCACTTTATCAATGGGGAAAGGAAAGAATTTACCACACAAAAATTCAAGGCCTGTGCTTTTTGTTCTGGAACCATTGTCTTCTGAGCATGTGATTGGTCTTTTAATCTCGACCTTTAGTCCTCCAGTTTTTGCCTTACTAATGGTTAAAAAATGTTATTGTGATGAATGGTACTCATAGATCAGAGATTCTTGAATAAGTAGTCAGTCTATTTCCATTTCGGATTACTTATCATAGGCATATGCTTTGTGGCCTAAATATAGTTTTTGTCTAGGAAGGACAGATGCACCCCACCAGAGCCAGTGTCGATGTCCACTCCAACCTGTGTTGGACAAGACAGGTGGCATGTCTCTCAGAGTAGAGGAGGCACTAGTTGGTTGAAGAAAGAAGAGATGTCAGCTGGTTGAAAAAAGATGAGATACTAGCCGCTGAGTGGTTGTTAGATGAGGAGATGCTGGCTGGTAGGGAGAAGAGTAGTTGTCGGTTCTTTGGAAAAGAGGCAGACAACTGGTTTTGGAGATGAAAAAATGTGGATATTAGGGCCAAACAATTCTGAAGAGTTAAAAAGGACAAACTTGGAAAATCGAAAGGTTTTTAATATTGAAATAGGCTGTTTTGAATGCAACATGCTTTGAAAAAAGAAATGCTTTAAGTCCACTTTAATGCTTGAGAATGAAATGCTTTTAATAAGGAACACTATTTTAAAATGAAAGCTCTTTTAACTTAGCAAAAGGAATGGGCATATGTTCTGCGATGCAAACCCTCCTCCAGCCTTTAAGTTTCCAAATTCTCCAAAATCTCTTCTCCATTACGAGTATATGTAACATGGCAAATCGCTTTTAACAATGCAAAATCCTGGAGCCTTAAATTTCCATCTTCTGCAAAATTTCATCACCATTTCAAGTTACATATCCAAAAAAATGTTGGCGTGTTTGTGTTGTGTCGTATCCTTGTCACATGTCTGTGTCTGTGCTGCTTATGACACCAAAATGAGGTTTAAGTTGGAACTTTGGAGTTCTTCAGAAATTAAAGGTTTTTGGTTGAGTAGAACCAAGATAAAATACGTGTAATACCACTTTTACAATTACAGGAATAAGGAGAATAGTGGAGTTACTATAGAGGATCTTGTTGTCTTGGAAACTGATTGTTTAGATATACGAGTCCATTTTACAAATGAAGAACTGTCCTTTGAGAGACTTTTGGGATGCTTGAAATTATGAACTGGTAACACATATCTTTACAGGTGCCTTGGCCTTTGATGTGGAATATGCTCGGTGGTTGGAGGAGCACAACCGACGGATTAATGAGCTAAGAGGTGCTGTCAATTCACATGCGGGTGATGGTGAACTTCGCATAATCGTAGATGGTGTCTTGGCACATTATGATAGCATTTTCAGGATAAAAGGGGATGCTGCAAAGGCTGACGTCTTTCATATTTTGTCGGGCATGTGGAAAACTCCAGCAGAAAGGTGCTTCCTTTGGCTTGGTGGATTTCGTTCATCAGAACTTCTTAAGGTGAGATTACATCTACTGTTTCAAGTGTTTTGCCATTACATCTACTGTTTCAAGTGTTTTGCCCATAAGTGTCTGGTGAACTGTTTTTGAAGATGTTTCTCCATTTTATCTTCCTCCCCCCATCTCGAGTAGTCATGCAGCCAATATCATGGTTCACGTCTTTCCTCAAGAAATTTATTAGAGAGAAGATTTTAATTATTTGAAAAAAAATGCTCGAATCATCTAGATCCTCTTTCACCAATTTATTCTTAGTTGGTGTACTTGCTAAAGCATATCCTCATATAATATAACTACACATTGATGTTAACATCCTCATCTCTGCTACATTTGTTTTAGAGATATTTTGTCCATCAACACTCATCATGGAGTGCCATAAAGATGGTTAACAATCATTGAGTGAACTAATGACAAATGTTTTCTTATTAAGAATAAAACAATCAAATCAACTGATTTTGAAAGGAGTCGTTATTATATGAAAAAATCAGCAGACAATGATGCCTGAGCATTACTTGATATGCAGCTGAGCATTTGGACTCAACATTACCCAACTTTTAGATGAGATGTGTTGTATGAAGTGCAAAACATAACAAGCTAAGCAATGCTTGAGAAAATGTAGAGACACACTTCAGGATTCTTAGATGTGTATTGAAGAGTACACAGTATGCCAAGGATATTAAAATTTACAGATGCTTAGGTAAGTTAAGTCCAAAACAATCTTCAACTTAATATAATGTGTACTATATTATATAGAATGAAGAAAATTAAATATGGGGAACGGTATTACAAGTGTAATGATTCGAATTTAGATGTAGCCAACTGTTAAACTGCATATTTACACATAGAGACTGAGAAAAGTTTGATATTTATAGTGGTATGGATAAACTTTGTAATACGATACTCCTTGGAGCACCTGTCTGAGCATTCACCGATAACATCAATGTTAATTTCATATCACAACTAGAACTCTTCAATCAACTTTATAGATGTTGCTTGAAAATTTTGCAGGCTGTTCAAATATAGAGCATATATATGCATACTTTGCTTCCTCTTTCTATCTCGCAGTGTTACTGAGAAATCTGTCCTCCCACTCCCTTTTATACTTGTTTTAAATTCTTCTCTCTTTTTCTTTTTGTTTCTTTACATTCTCAGTCCTTTCATTGTTACTAGACTATCTGAATACTTGGGTACTTACAGTTCACCTTCAAACTTTTTCGAAACAACAATTTATGATAATTTTTTAATGTTTTATTTAAATAATTCCATTACAGTTTAGAGAATACCAAATAAGTATTGGAAAAATCTAATATAATTGTTTTCAATTGGATGTGTCCAACAATAATAACGGGTTACATTCCACCTCGAGAAAACAGGGCAGTTGAGTTGTATTAGTCCTACATATTTTCAAATTTCTGAAGTGGGATCTTCGAATATCTGAAGTTTTCTCGAGTATACAATCTGTATAAAATAGTCTTGAGAAACTTTTGGATAGTAGCAAAAGTAACATCTACCTATATTAGACTCTGTTCACGAAAAACATGACGTGGTAAGCCCATGCTCTTCAGTTGCCTTCTACGCCTTTGAGAATCTTATCTCCTTGATTTTACTGATCTATCCTTGATTGGTTTTACTCCATTTTAGGTTCAGTTATTAGTTGTCTGGCTCTTCGATTGACTAGAAACAATCTATTAAAAAGTTTCTCGTCTGATCTCTTATATGAACTCATTTCTTCCTTTAATTCATAACGTTGGAGGCATGATCTGCAAACACAAATTTCATTCGTAGTATGACTATATATATTATCAATTTGACCTATTATATTAAAATCTGATCTAATTATTAAATCAATTTTGATTCACATTGCAACATATATTGCAGGCTTCAACTCTTTAACTACCTTGAAAATTACTCTTTAGGATAAATTGATCCTCCATTGTGATTCTGTAAATAATTTTACGGTCCATATTCCGACTATTATTTGTTTTAGTTTCTAACGTGTGAGTTATCTTCCCTACTACCCTTTTCAACTAAAACGATGACATCAACACAACATATAATACAATGGACTCATCCTTGGAAGATGAATGTTAAATTGATGTAAAATGATTTGTTCAACATGTCATGTCATGTCATGTCATGTCATTCCATTACTTTTGTTTTTCAATATATTTATGGTGAGATTTGTCTCCATTGTATGTAATAACAGTTGGAGTGTGTTTGTATGGGTTTTTCCAAGGCCTAAAAGCGCTTAACTCACTTTGTGGAGATCAAAAGTGCTTTTTGTTTCTAAAATTGGTTTCAAGAAGAAACCAATATTTGAGGAGAAGAAAAATAGCTGTTTTTTAGAAGCCCAAATTTTGAGCTTCTTTAAAAAGCTCTAATTGAGCTTTTACAGGAAATTGTAGTTTACATTAGTCAAGCTTTAAAATGCAAAATACACATTAATATTTGTAAAAAGAAATTCAAACTTCTAACCCAATTAAGGCTGTGTTCAAGTCCCTTTTTTTGGAATAATAGATTTATGTGTGGTTAAAAATAGGAAAAAGCTTTGGGTTTACGTGTAAAATTTATTTTATTGAGAATTTGTATAGTTGAATAATGAATTTTTAGAAAATGGTGCTCAAACAGGGGCTAAATAAATAAGTTTATAAAAAAGTCCTTTTTGGATTCACAAGCAAACAGTCAATGGCTTTTGAATAAAAGCTCTAATGTGAAAAGCTCTACTTCTAGAAGCTCTACTCACGCCCAAATGGACCCATAAATGCTTTCATTTTGTGCAATGGTTGCAGCTTCTTATAAATCATTTGGAGCCACTTACTGAGCAGCAGTTATTGTCTATCAACAACTTGCAACAAACCTCACAACAGGCTGAAGATGCCTTGTCACAAGGGATGGAGGCGTTGCAGCAGTCCTTGGCTGAGACTCTGGCAGGATCTCTTGGCCCATCAGCTTCGTCGGGAAATGTTGCCAACTACATGGGTCAAATGGCAATGGCTATGGGAAAGTTAGGAACTCTTGAGGGCTTCATTCGTCAGGTCAGTCTATGTATCATGTCACCATAAAGAAAATGACCATTTTTTGTCAAATCAGTGCAAAAATCCTCCTGCATTTCATTTTTATCCCCGTTCCAATTTCTTTGAAGATTTGTCGGTGTTCTTTCCATACAAGATAAATTCAGCATTGTACATTGTATAAATTAGAAGAATGTTTGAACAAAATTAGCCCAAAGATTGTATTAGTGCTAATCTGCAGTGCATCATGCTCAATTATGTGAATAGATTATATCCATAGCTTTAGCACGTGGGATTATATTATGTAGATTGAAACAGCCTCATCGCATAATTCTATCTCCATCAATTAACATAATGATGAAGGAAACCCTGAAGTGCAGGCTGATAATTTGCGGCAACAGACTTTGCATCATATGCACCGTATACTGACAACTCGCCAGTCAGCTCGTGCTCTTCTTGCAATCAACGACTATTTCTCTCGGCTTAGAGCACTTAGCAGTCTTTGGCTCGCCCGGCCAAGGGAGTGAGATCTACATGCTTAACTTTAATACAGGCTTCAAATATTGTGGATATTGCCTTGATTTTTATGCCGTATTCTTCCTCCTCCATCAATCTGTGTCAATGGTGCTGCTTCCTGCCTCTCCAAGTTTGTATGAATATTGTGTTGTATGATTTCTAGTTTTGAGTTAGTCGTATGTAATTTAATTACGGCCGAGGTTAATGAAAGTTAAAAAAAAATTAGTGACTGTAGTTTCATTGCAATTGGTCGAACCTTCAATTTTTATGTGGAATTTGATCTCCTTCCACCGTGTCCCCTGAAAAAAAAAAATTAACAAAATTTAGAAGGTACTAATGTTGCATTAAATGAGAGGTTATAATAAAATAATCGGTTGTGTTATACGTTTATAATGGTTTATGTACATATAATGTGGTGAGATATAATTGTGTTAGAATTTCTTCATCCAAAAAAAAAAAAAATACATATATTCTTAGCTCCCTCTTTGACACTTCATCTTTATGTAAACTATTATATAATTTCATTATATACAAGTATTATTATTCTAAAATAAATCATTTAATTTTATATTTTATTGAGCTTATCAATTAATTTCATCTAGAATGATGTTTTAGCATCTCGGCACTGATGATAAATAATATTATTCAAAACTTGAATATGAAAGTAACCAATGTTTTAAAACTTGTTTAGACTATTGACCTAGAAAAATACATATATTCTTCACTCCCTTTTTGACATTTTATTTTTATGTAAATTATTATATAATTTTATTATGTAGAAGTATCATTATTCTAAAATAAATTACTTAATTTTATCTTTTATTAAGACTATCATTTAATTTCATCTAGAATGATGTTTTAGCATCACAAATGATAAATAACATTATTCAAAACTTGAATAAGTAACCAATGTTTTAAAACTTGGTCAGACTACTAACCTAGTAAAATTAAAGGATTCGGCAGGATTTTTCTATTTGGCATATTACTATTCATTTTCGTAGAAAAATTTATATTGCCCTTAATGAAATGATTCTTTCTATATTGCAACATATATCCCAAAGTATATTCTCTTTTGAATTTTTGAATATAATTTCATCTTATGATCTAATAAAATGGAATAATCTGTAACATATTGTTCACATTTATAATTTAATATATTATATTTTTCAGAAGATGCATCCATATTTTCTAATTGGGAATAAATATTTTTTATTTCTTCTAACATTCTTTTTAATAAATTATTTAATCCTTTAATTGTATATCCTGACATTTAATCATACAAATAATCATCAAATCATACAATTAATTCTTTTGATTCTCTAAGATCTAAAAAGATTTATTCTAATTTAAGCAAAAATTTAATAGTTTCACCTTAAGTTTGATCTAGATTTTTATTCTTAGAATTGAGTGACCTTTGAGTTCTGAATATGTAAACTACTTCCTTCAACGGCCTCCTGCCTTCAAGGAATTTTTATTATTTCAGTTTCTTGCTCTCACTGTATCAACTCTAAAGAATAAAATTCTAGACTTCTGTTAAATAAAAACTTTCTTTTTATTAAAATAAAAATGAAACTTTCTATTAGATCCTTCAAGAATCTTTGGGAATAAAGATACAGAAACTCATATTGATATTAAAATATTGAATTTTATTTCTATCAGAATTTATACAAGACTTCTATTTGGTACAAAGGGATTTCCAGAAAAACTATTTTGGAAATGTTGATTCTCCACTACAAATCTAGCTTACAATTTGAGAGAAGATACTTTTATTTCAAGATGATTTCTTTCTATTACAATGCCTCTATTTATACAAATAAATGAGGCTCTATTATTGATCTATTACATCATTCAGTATATCAGCAAAAGACACACTTGCCTTTCTATTATTGTCCTCCTTGGACCTACATCTTCACATGTAGCATTTGATTTTTTCTATTATTGTCCTCCATTTTCTTTATCTTCACATGCTTTTCCAACTTTTTATCCAAAGAGCATCTTTTTTTATTATTGTCATCTTTCTTTTATGTCTTCACATGAAGTTGGGGCACTCCCTTAGCTGGCAGGATTTTCTTACAGTGGTAGCGGTAGGACATCCTAAAAATTGATGTATCTCGAATCTTGTAATGAAGTCTTTCAAGATTTCTGATTTTTCATGTCCTCCATTTGATACCAACATCCAATTTTCATATAGGCACAAGTATGAAAATTTTTTATCAAACAAATTTTTAGCGATATTGTATATGGGTTTAATTCCAAGTGTTCTTCTATGTCTGATCTATAACTTTGTCACTGTTGGAATTTTTCTATCATTTTCCACCACATCGATTCGGAAGTTGGCTGCTACATACCCAATTGATATTATATGGTTAATTGGATAGTAAATACTTTCATCATATTCAGGACTTATTGAATAAAATTTCAAATATATTTTTTGTCTTTTGGCAAATTTGGATACTTCTTTTATGAATATGTCATCAAATTTTGAAGTTTCAATCAAATCTTTTCCTGGATATATCAAATCTATAAATCCATAGTCTGCCATAATTTTTATAAACAAAGGATCTCCTCCTTCCATGGCTGTTATTTTGGGATAAACATTATTTTTCGGAAAGATGAAATATGAATCACTTATTTTTATTTCATAAGCAATTCTGGCTATTTTAGCATACTCTTCTTCTTTTGGATCTAAATGGATTGTATCATCCTGGCCTATGATGCTGATAGTTTTGAAATCTTTTTTATCTCCATGTATCACCACTTTTTTGGTTGGTGTTGACTCTCCTTTTTTATCAATTGGTATAGTGTCACGTCTGGGTCTACTACTGCTTTTAGCTGTCCCCGTTTGGTGTTGATTTGGAAAACTCATTTCTGAACTCTTTAGTATATCTGTCTCGGACAGTATATCTTTTAGTTGTACCGCAATAACATCAACTTGATTTTGAGTTCTACAGCTTCTTTATGATGCTCAGTAGTGATATTCAGCAATATTTTTATATTTGAGTTGAACATGTCTGAGATCTGTGTTGCTCCAATAATTATGTCTTTAGATTTTTCTTTAAGAAAATCTGTCATTTTTTGTATATGTAGGATAGATTGGTATAACTCCATGACCCTAACTTTATCCATCAGCAAATTCTATGTTTTTGCTGAGAAAATTTGCAAGAAATTTATTAACTCTTTTAATATGAACTCTACCAAGATTATAAAATGCTAAATAAGCTTGCTATGTATGGAGCCTTCTGTATTGAGGTTCTGATAGTAGTTTATTCCCGACTAATTCTGCAACTTGAAAATTATCAGTTTCAACAATAAAGATTTTAATATATTTGGTTCATTTATATTTTCTCTTTTATTATAATATTCTCCTTCTATTTTCATATTTCCAGCATTCCCATATACTTTTACTTCTTTTATATTATTAAATTCTTCTAACTTGTTTTTATTAGGTATTCTAAGACTTTTTGATCTTTTGATTAATTTTTCAACCTTAAATGTTATATTATTATAACATTCTTCTTCATTTAATTATGTTATTTTAGGTTTATTTTTTGTTATACTAAATTCATATTTTTTTGTTTAACTTTTTTATCCCTCTAATAATTCTTTTTTATGAGTGACATAATTTATTTCTACTTGATTAAATATTTCACTTGAATATCTACAAATTTCATTTAAATCTGTTTTTAATATTGCTGCCCAATATTTATCTGAGACATCTGTATTCACAATCAAATTATCTTTTTCATCTGATAATCTTGATTTTGGTAATTTTTTACATTTTTCTTTTAATGATCTAACTATTTCTGTATGTTTTTCATTCCATCCTTTAGTATTTGTTTTTCTTAACAAAATTTGTATTTTATGTTTTTTCTTAGAAAGATTTTCAATAAATCCTTCTGCATAATTTAAACATCCTAAAAAATTTTGTATTTGTTCTTTAAATTCTAATTTATCTGAATTTTTTTCTATCTTTTTGGATATAAGAGTCCACAATTTTATTCATCTTTTATCTATTGATAATCCAAGAAAATCTATATCTTATTTTTTTTTATTATAGATTTCTTTTTAGAAAGTACAATTCAATTTTTTTTACATTCATTTATGAATTGGATTAAATAAATCATATGTTCTTCTTAACTATTAGAATATATCAGTATGTCATCTATATAAACAATTAGAAATTCATTAAATTTTTTAAATATATTATCCATTTTTCTTTGATGTATTTGTAGTGCATTTTTTAATCCAAATGACATTACTAATTATTCATATTTTTCTTGAGGTGTACTAAATGCAGTATATTGTATACTATTTTCTTCCATTTTTATTTGCCAAAATCCCGATTTACAATCAAATTTGGAATAATATTGTTTTCCTTTTGCAAAGTTTATTAAAACTTCTTTATTCAGTAAAAAGTATCCATCAAATTTAGTATATTTATTTAATTCTTTATAATTTATAATCATTCTAGCTTTTCCTCTAACTTGTTCAAAATGTTTCATAACCATAAAGATTGGACTACTATGAGGTTCATTACTTGGTTTTATAAGTTTCTATTCTAATAATTATTTTATCTGATTTTTGAATTCTTGTGTATCTTCTATAGTATACATCATTTGTCTGACTCTTATTATAATATTTTTTGTCAATTCTATTTTGGTTTTAGGGTGATAAGGTTTCCAAAATAACAATGGATTTTTTCCATAAATATTTTCTAATTGTTCAATAATTTTTTTTATACTTGTTTCTATTCCCGTTTTCAAAACTTTTTCGTACAATATTCTTTTATTTCATTAAATATGATTAGTTTTTTCTCCCATTTATCACCACGTTGGGCTGGCTGAACTCTATAATTTCTAAATTCTCTTGAAATTTTTAAAAAATTTCCACAAGGTGTTTGTAGCATTATCATATAATTATTTTGTTTATAGTATTGAAATTGTTGTATAAAGTCATTTCCTAATAATATATCACACTCTAATTTATCATATTTATAAATTTTATTTATTGTAACTTGTTTACTTCCAAGAATTATACTAACTTTATCAGCACTATTTATTATCCGGGTACTTTCCCTTGTGACTCCAGTTATTTTTATGTTACTATTATCATTTCATGATTTTATCAAAAAACTTTAAATATTGTTATATCACTTCCTGTATCTATTAAAACACAAGTTGTTATATTTATTTTTATAATAGTAATTTGTATATATACAGCCAATGAAAAACTTATCTGATTATTCATTTAATTCTTTTTGCATAATATAATTTGTCCATTATGGACTATATATAATCCTTCTCTTTTCATACTATAATCTTCTAATCTATTTAGAAAACTCATTCCTAAAAGTATATGAGGGTTTATATCCATACTTTTATCTATATAATACGGTATTAAAAGATCTATTCCTCCTATTTTTATTAGTCCCTTGACTTCCAAATCTGTAATATGTACCTATCCATCAAAATTTACGTATCTATATGGATCAGTTTTATGAGTTATTAATTCTTTATTTCTGATTGAAGCTATATGACATTCACTAACTCCCGTATCTATTAATATATTTGGTCAATTTATATTTTCTCTTCCATTATAATATTCTTCTTCCATTATAATATTTCTAGCATTTCTATATAGTTTTACTTATTTTATATTATTAAATTCTTCTAACTGGTTTTTATTAGGTATTCTAAAAATTTCTGATTTTTTGATTGATTTTCCATCCTTAAATTTTATATTATTAGAACATTTTCCTTCATTTAATTCTGTTATTTCAGGTTTATTTTTTGTTATACTAAATTCATATTCTTCTGGAATTAAACTTATTTGTTTATTTGGTTCTATTATTTTGCTAATATCCTTACACTTTATGTACTTCAATATATGGTTTATTAGAATAAATATTTCCATAATTAGAATTGGTAAATGTGTATAAAGTTCTATACTCTATAATCATAATTTAATCACCTGGTTGCATGATATCATCTCTATGCCGTTTAAAATGCAATCCTAAAACTTCACTAAAGTTTCTATCTTTCAATAATACACAATATTTTGGGTAACATGTAAACATTATTTTTTGATATGTCAGATTTCCATCTATTGTTCCTAAATGATTGTCTTTTAAATTTATTATTCTTCCATCATGTAAGGTTATAGTTAAGGGTGAGTTTATTTTTTCTCTAAATAATTATTTAAACATTATTTGTATTCCTGGTAAATAAACATATTGAATTTTGTTAATAGTTCTTCAACTGTATTTTTTGTTAAAAAATTTAATTTATGTTGTCCATATGTTGTCCTTACATCTATGATTTTTCTATTTTGTGATATTTATTTATTGCTATTCTTTATCTTTTCCAAATTCTAACTAAGACTTCTCATTTCCCTATTTTTAAATCTAAAGATAACTTTTGTAATTTTCTAAATTTATTGTTATCAAATGTAATTTTTAATTCATATCCTTCTATTCCTTCATATTCTTGTATATTTATATAATTATTTTCTAATTCCTTTATTTCCTTATTCAGATTTTGATTTATCATTCTCTGTTTCACATATATAAACTTCTTGATTATAGTATTTTTCAATATCTGATATTTCACATAATTAATCTTTTATATCTAAATATTCTTTTTGTAATATTTTAATTTTCTTTTTATTGCAATCAGGGCTTATATGACATATTTCTCTATAATTTCAACATTTACATTGACTTTTATTTTTCTTATAACTTTTATTTTTTTGTTGATCATATGGGATATTTTTTCTTTTATAATATCTTCTTCTAGATTTTATATTTTTTATAAAAATTTCTAAATTTTTTAAATTTCTTATTTTTATACTTTCTTTTATTGATCCTTTTTTCAGGATTACATTCTCGCTGTATAGGATTTTCCATACCTTCATAACATATTATAGTTAGTTTTCCTAATTTTTTTCATTAATTGTCTTTGTTGACATATATATGAAAGTCTTTCAAATAAAAATTTTATTCTTGAACCTAAAGATCTAGGTATTCCAACATTGTCTCTAACATATTTTTCAAATTCTATTTTAAAATATATTCCCCACGAGCCTGATAATTTATTTTAGTACATATCTAGATATTTTTCTTGGTTTTCATTATTGTAAAATTGAACATAATAATAATTTCTAAATTCACAAGTATATTCTTTAATTTTACACATATTACATATTGTTAAATTTATTAGTTTAATTCTAGCATTGTCTTTTTTTTCTTATTTCTTCTCTTTCAGCATTTCTTATCCAATTTTCTCCTAAAAATTCATCTGAAATATATTCTACTAACTTTTCTATACATTGTCTATCTGATTTTATTATCTCTGTTTATACATTTCTTTTTATTAATGTTTTTGTATCATTACTTATTCCTTCCCACCAATTTCTAACATCTCCTTCAAATGATGCTATTAAGAAATCTATTATTCTTTCAATATTTTCCCATGTGTCATATTTATTATATAAAAAGAATAATATCATTGAATCTACCCCAAGTTAATAAGGTTTTTTTAGTATCTAATTTGCAATTTAAATCTAATTTTGTTCCTCCATTGTTAATAGGTTTATCATAATTATCATTTAATTCAAACCTGCCTCTATATTTATTTCTTTTAGGTAGTTGTCCATCTCTTACTTTATCATAAAATTGTCTATATGGTTTATTATATATATGTGCATAACTTTTATCTAAATTTTGTAATTCTTGTTTAGAGATTCCTATTTGATTAAATCCTCCTCTAGTATTCATTAAAACTTGGCATTCACTTATATTACTTAAACTTAATTGATCAAAATTTTCTATTAGTGAATCTAATTCCTCATTCATCTTTATCTTCTTTTTCTTCCACTTTTAATTTTCCTAATATTTTTTCTCTAAATTCTTCTTCTTCCAATATTTTTGGTAATATATTTTTTCTAAATTCATCATCCATACTTCCTGTTTCTCTTACTACACTCTATTTTTCAATATATTTCTTTTCTATTTGAGTCATTTCTTTTCTTTATTTTTATTATTTTCTTTTATTTCTCTAATTTCAATTTTTAATATATTTATATCATTTCTTGTTTCTCTTACTTCATTTCTTAAGTCTCGTATATCATTTATTAACATTTTTATTAATGACTTTAATTTTTCTATATATTCACTTATTGACATATTAAATTTTTCATGTCATCTTTCTAACACATAAGTCAATTTACATCTTTTATCTTCTTTTTTTTATCTATTATTATTTCAAATCTTCTATTAGCTATATCTATATTTACCAATTCTTCTTTTGCTATATTAAAATATTTACTTTCAAGTCTTAATCTTTCACATTTTAATTTTATTAGTTGTCTTTTACTTGGTACTCTTATTCCTTCTGATTTTAACATTATATCTTGTATTTCTTCTTATATTTTTTCCATTTTTATAAGTAACCTATTTAATTTCAAATATGTATTATTATTTACACTCATATTTCTCTTTATAATATAAATTAATCTCTTCATCTTCATATTCTTTAATACCTTTTTCATACATATATATTTCTTTTATCAATTCTATTATTAATTTTTCTAATATTTGTTCTCTTATTTATTTAGGTACATCTTTAACTATTGTTAATGTCATTATTTTTAATTTATTAGAAATAAGTTTTAAAAATATATAACTTCCTCTTCCTTCTTCTAATTTATAATAATTATCTATTTTTCTTATTTTAATTTATAATAATTTTTAATTATCTCTCTGGCTCTGATACCATTAGGGGAGACTACTTAAAGTGAACAAAAATCAAATAAGTCTATAAAAAATCAAAATAATAAATCTATCAAAAATCAAGTAATATTTAATTTTAAGAACTAAAATGCAAGATTTCTATATGATATTAACTTGTTAATAAAATGAGGGGTATTTTATGTATCTAAATTACTCAAAAGTTATTTTGGACAAATGGCCTCTTTGTTTAGGTCATTTCCACGTATTTCCCAAGGATCCAGTGTCAAGATTCAACAAATTGAACTGAGATCGAATTGGTGGTAAGGAACTATCGAATAATAAATGCAAAAATTTACATAAGAGTATGTAAAATTAAGAATTTTTTTTTCTTTTTTTTAGATGTATTTAGTTTTACTATTTTCATTTCATTTAATAATATTAATTTAGTAGATGAAATACATTATTTGCATATACCATTGATTTAAACATTGGTGACGGCGGCAAAATGGAGACTCGATGGAGGCCATCGAATGGTTTGTTTGAATTGCAGTAGAAATTTGAGAATTGAAAATTGGCAACGAAAAGGTTGCAAAAAGTATGGGTTTCGTTGGATTTTGTAGGGTTCTCTATTTGATGATTGCACGGTTGGTGTTTAGTAGTTCTTATTGGAAGCATTGAATTCCTTATCTGATCAAATAACTTTTATTTATTTTTTATTGACAATAAATTTCCAAATTTATGGCATCTATTTTTAAATTTAGTTACCATATTGCCTACTGCTCTCATCAACCTCCATCGATTTTTAATTTTTATTACACTTTATTTCTTTTCTTCAAATTTATGAATAGAATTTTGATTTGTAAGATGGATGAATTGTATAGGAATTAAATAATATAAAGTTTGATTTGTGGAGACATGCAAGTTTTTTTGTTGGGTATTCTTCCTCTAATATCACAAAATGATTATTTGTGCAAATTGATGTATTTCATTACAATATCTATTCGTTTCTATGGAGTCCATAACGGTAAAGAAAAAAAAAATTATATATCATGTAAATTTAATAATAAGCAAATTAAAAATACATGATGTAACATGATTACCGAACAATTTATAATAATAATTACAAACAAAGCAGGATATAATATGATTATTACATAATTGCAAGTTATAATTTAAAAAATTACAAACACTATAAAAAAAAAAAAAAAGACATAATTAAGTAACAACCATTGTAATTTATCAAAATATTGTCAAAATTTATATAAACGGTAATTGTTGTATTTTTCTGAAGCACTCATTTGTGTTGTAATTTTCAAATATTTAACAAAAAATTTATTTTCAATTCAGCCCTCTATTTTTGTAAAATGCCCAAATTATTTTCATCAAAATGGGCCGACCAGAAATGGGCCATTTTTGTTCCCATTTATACAAAATGGGATGTGAATGTTCCTGGGCTAATTTTATATAAAATGGGCCCAGCCGAAAAGGAACCAAGGCTGAGCGAAGCTTTACTTTCAGGCTTCAACGAGGGTTTGAGGTAGTGGCAAGGGAGAATAGCAGCTAGAGCGAGGAGATCAATAGAAGAACAGAAAGTTGGATACAGAAAAGTGGAATAGAAGTTTAATTCTTGCAGTAATCGATGTGGCTTGGCTGGAGAAATGGAGCAATTGCAAATGCAGGCAATACCATGAGATACTTCTCTTCGAGCTCGCGGAAGCGCGCACCAAATCTGAGAAAGATCAACCCTAAGGTGCCATTTCAGGAGGCTGCCTACATTGCTGAGGGACTGTATCACGTCATCAAGAACCACGGCCCACTCACCATCTCCAACACTTGGAACCACGCCAAGGTTGGAAATCAGATTATTATCATTATTATTTCTGTTTTTTTGTGTATGCTTATAGCTGTTTTGAAAATGTAAATTGAATCCTGATAAATCTGGGTGCTATTTGTGTCAACAAGGATTTAAACAATTTTAATTATTTGGACCTCATGTCCTGCAATTCTGAAGCTCTAATGATGTTTTATATACTTAGAAACTGTTGGAGAGTGAATCCAAATGAAGAAAAACAAATCTTTTGTCATTTTTTCCTTGCGTCTGATACATTGCTACTATATATTTTAGCTGTGTAGCTTTAACTACAAAGAAAAACAAAGTTTTTGGTCCTGCTTCGTATTGGATCTCGCGTTGAATGGTTTATTACTATGCCCAGAAGTCCTTCACTTTGCATTAGAAGTGGTAAGAGTAATAAGCAGGTGAAATAGGTCTTAAATGAAGAATCTACCTCAAAAACACAAAAAGCAAATACTAAGAGTGTCATTTGCGGATAAATGGTTATGTTTTCTTGGCTTCACATTCTTTTTGAGTATTGTGTAGTATCATCTACGTATGACCATGTTGTTTGCTGTTGTTTTTTCTGATTACAGATAGCTGCATGAAAGGAGATATAATAAACGGAAATAAAAAGGAAAATGCATACTAGCATAGATCTTTCATTCACCGACGCTATAAATCTACAAAAAAAAATTTGTGTCATTCAGCTGATTCCCTAAATCAAATCAAATCGTAAGGCCTTTGAAAGCTGTTGTTCCATTTTTTACACTGCACCAAATTAATGTAGTGAAGCACCATCTTCCTAGGCTATCTGTATCTTATTGGGCCACCTTTCCATTCTGCTAATCTCAGCACCGATGAAACATGATCATGGGCATTGGACAATTGTGGCTCTGACATTTCCCCAAATTGAAGGACGCAAACTTCTAGTAATGCTATGGATAAAAATTATACATCCAAAACTTCTGTGTCCAATAAAATTGAAAAAACATAAAATAAAGAGTCGTTATAATGATTTTTAAAATATAAGAGAGCTATGAGTAGGTTATTGATTCTTGAATTGGATTATTTAAGGAGTATAGAAAAGAATAGTTGATAGAATTTTGCATATCAGATATTTTCATCAAATGAAATCTATAAAAAGTAAAATATGTTGATACCTCATTTAAGTGAATTGGTGTTGAATGCTGAAGGGCATATCCACATCTTTAGGTCATAAAGTTAAGTATATCCCCTCTCCTCCCCTTCCTCTACACAAAGAAAATTGTATTGCCTAAGAGCATTGAATACTATATGTTTAACCATTGGATTAGGTAGACATCAACATTCTGCTGGGGTCAATGTGCAAGGCCCAACCTCAGTAGCATATAATTTGCTTACCTCACCTCATCTTTACGAGCTTTGTAAGCACTAGAGCAGCTGATGTTATATTTCAGTGACGAAATATTTACTAGTATCCTACTATATTTGTGTCCTGTTTTATGCTTGTGGTAAGTAAATGAATTGCTAACGTTCCGTACATATTTCCTTGATTAAAATTCATTTTCATCTGATCTTTATGTACAAAAATCTACTAAAGGTTAGTCATTACTTGGTCGTAACACGCTCTTATGATTAATACAGGAAGCTGGAATTAGTGGATTGAGTAGTAAAACACACATGAAGATAATGCTTCATTGGATGAGAGGCAGAAATATGCTGAAGCTCTTCTGTCAGAACGTAGGCTCTAGCAAGAAGTTCCTGCTGTCTACGCTACCTGAAGAACCCCAAACCAACCAGTTAAACAGCTCCATGGAATCCGTGGAACCGAAGCCGAAGACTGGAAAGCCTTCAATGAAGAAGAGAAAATAAACAAAATAATGTGTTGACTTCAGAGATGAAAGACACTAGTACAATACTGTTTAATGAGAATTTATTGAGGTGTAGGAATTCTTGCATTTAAAAGCCATTTACTTGCTGTTCTTATGTATTGATACTTTGGGATGTATGAGTCATTTAAACAATGTATTTGCTTTAACTTCATTCTCTGCCAAGACTTGTATATTCGATTCTTTGCTTACACAATTGCCTATTCAAACCAAAGAGTGCAATTTTTTTGTAGGACTGCTTCGTTTTGGGATTACAATGAAATATTTTGTAGCACAATTAACATCCAATGAGTTACTACTCACTAGTATTACGTAAACCTGTCTCACTGAAATCACTCAGTTTACTAACAATCGTGGGATTTTAGAAAGTTCACCACGAGCATGGATGTTATTATCGTCTCGCTGGGCATCCTGTCGAGTAGGTTTCGTTTTAAAACCTTTTGAAAATTTCAACTTTTTAAATTATAATCGTGTTTGATGGTTAATTTCTATGTAACTACTAAAATAAATGTAACACGACTAGGATTTCTGATTTGTTTGAAATCTCTCTTCGACCCCCTATTTTTGATTCAGCACTTTTTTCAATTTCTTTAAATTTTTGGTCTTCTGAGTATAATACTTTTATTTTCCCTCTTGGCCCCATATCCATTATCTTAAGGGATGTTGAGGCCCTAATAAATCTGCTACCTTTGAGCGATACCATTTTCCCTGGTATTTTTATTTCTGGTGTCGCCCCAAAATTTGAAAGAAAACTCACCGAGTTTTATTCAAACCTGCAAACCTATCATAACCACTCGAGCACTGAGCCTTCCCATGCTAAGCATGTGGCCTTTCTTCTGATTTGACTTTGTAAATACATTTTGTGTGTGCCAAGCATAAAGCCCTCCATGAGCTATTTACCCATAGCGCACGAATTGGCGCGTGGTAGGCGTCTGAATTTGTGTTCTTTCTTTTTAGCTGCCCTCTATAGAGACATGGCTTCTCTTCAATCACAATTGAAGAATGGTGCAACTCCCACCGGCAGTGGGCCTCTTTGGTTCACTCAAATGTGGTTGAGAGCCTATTTTCCATCGCTTGGTGCTCCATCATTTTCCAGTCCTTCTGCTAGTTGCTATGGGCTAGCTATTGATCCCCTAACTCCTGTAAACATGTCCAGAAGGGACTTTTTTCATTCTTTTATACTTTGGATTCAATCCCTTCTTTCTTTTTCCTCCCTTTTTGACTTCGGATTATGTGCAACCTCCATCCATTATGGATAGTGCAAGCACCTCTCTGTTCGTTTGGATTCAGTTTTTGACCGGAAGGGAGTTGTTCCATGATATTTTGACTGGGACAAATGCCAAAGTTGGGGTTGAAATATACGCTCCCCAATTCTTTGCTCGCCAACTTGGTTTCGGCCAAACTTGACCCGTTCCCCCTTGCTATTCAAGAAACTTGATAGACCGCTTCCACACCATTAATAAGGTAGAGGCAGAAGCTATAGATGCTCGCAATATTCTTTTGACGAGCAGCTTTTCGTTAGCCCCCTTTAATTCTAGCCGTGCCATCCATCCCCTTTTTGAACAACTCTGGCTATCAGTGAAGCGCAGATTGTTTGCGACTGATCCCAATCGTGCTTTCCATTCACTGGACCAGCCAAACATTTCTTCCACCTCTCCTGTTTTGGTCACTCCTCTGTCCATTAGGAGTCCCTCTTCCCCTACTCGTGCTAAACAGTCTGCTCCTCCATCGACTTCTCCTCCTGTCAAGCCCACTGCAGCTAAAAGTGCCCCAAGCTGCAAACGGCCAGCCTCAGCATCTCCCATTTTGGAAGATGATGCTGATGATGATGATGATGACACCCCTCTCATTGTCAGGAGGAAGGTAATTAAATTGGTTTACTCACAAGCATACCTTTCCATACTTGCAACTTTTCTATGTGCTGATGATTTATTTGGATTTCTCAGAAAAGTTCAGCCTCTCCTTTGAAGGCTTTGGTGTTGGCAGCTCCTGCTCCATCATCCTCTGCTGAGGCTGCTTCGTCCAAACCAACTGATGAAGGGACTACGCTTAAAGAGAAATCTTCAGTCCCAGAATCTTCATCACAACCAATGGATGAGCCACCTTCTTCCCAGGGCGTTGACCCCCCAAACGTCGAAGCAGAAGATAATTCATTTTTTGATGCTTTGCCTTTGGTTGTGCTATTGGTTTTTGATTTGTTGCTTTTTGAGTTCTGCAGATGCTTCCATGATCTGCCCATTTCGACAAGGTCTTCTCTTTTAGACAAGGAGAAGTCCTCACGAATGGTGGAGCCACAAGTGGCAGATTTGGCTGGGGATATGCCACCTTCCAAGATTACTGATGAGGTAATCTTTGCTTCACCTTTACCTCCACTTTGTTTAGTGTAGTGGAAACCTTCAATATTGGAAACTTTCTTTGCAGGATGCTGATAAAATTGTGCGTTCCATCCAAGACTTGTTCACTTCCTGGGGGCAAGTCAAGACATCTCGCCCTCCTTCAGCCAGTTGTCCTTCTGCTTCTTCAGAGGAAGATATGAAATTCCTCAAGCAGTCGATATTTGAGTATGTGTCCTTCATGGATATGGACATCAGTAAGGCTAGTGCTGCCAAACATAAGGAGAAGTTTGAGCATTTGAATGCGAAATTGGAGCAAGCACTGACACTTCCGTCGCTCAATCTTTCTGCTGATTTTAAAGCGACGTTGAAAGTTGTCCATTCCGTGCCAAAAATGTTGAACTGAAGGCCAAAAGAACTCAATATCTTCGCGCTGTATCTGAAAAAGAGTCCTTGCTTCTGAAGATCAACAAAGCTGAGGACGAGTTGAAAGAAATCTCTTCCAAAATCATGATTGAAAACTCTTTGATGACTAGTTTGGCTGCACAGATGAAGGAGTTTCAAGCCAAGATGGACGACTGCAAGGTGAGAATGGCTGCTAAAAAGCATAATGCCTCCCAAGGAATTGAGCGAACTAAGTCTTTGGTCCAGCAGTACAAGAAGCTGGAAGTTGATGATGATGTTGTGGCTGAATTGAATATCACTTCTTCTCGGCAGAGCGAGGACTGGGGGAGACTTAAGAAAAGAATTCGTTTGGTATGGGGCGAACTGTAATCAAGACCTATAATGCCTTAACTTTTTCTTTTTGTTATTTCGTATTGACTTTCCCTTTGTAACCTTGTACTGATATCCATTGCTAATTTTGATCATAACAACAGCCATCATTGTTAATGAATAACTATTTTAGCCTCTTGTGTATTTATTGACGTTTGTATTTTAATCGTCAATCGCTCAAGCATTTAACTACTTTATACTAAAAAAAATTTGCACATTTTCTCTTGATATTTCTGCCCCCTTTCTTCTCTCTCTCTCTCTCTCTCTCTCTCTCTCTCTCTCTCTTAGACTCTGGGCCGCTTAATCCCATTTACTAGAAACGAATGTGGCTGCTCATTTTCTGTATTTTCACCTTCACCTCCCTATAAATACACGTATACTTCATACTTTTCATCCTCATTTCTATTTTCTTCTTCAAAAGACCAATTTGCTGCCATTGTTTGGCATTTTGACAATTAATCCAACACCTTCGTTTTTCATGGAAATGGATCATCTGATCCGCCCATTTTACCATCCTTCTTGATGTCACATTTGGTATGGGAGATATAGGAAATATTCTTTGGCCAGCAGCAAAGTTCTTCCCATCGTCTCCGTTCCTATAAGGAGTTCAATGATGGAAGACAATTTTTGGGGTGCTTGCAGGCCACCTTGCTTGCTGAGAGTGCTTCTCAGCCTCCTTGCCTGTCGTTGCAACGATACATTTAGGAAGGCGATGTGAGGGCGCTTCATCTTCATTTCTGCTTGCTGAGAGTGCTTCTCGACCTCTCTGCTTGCCTTTGCAGCAGTGCGATCAGGATGGCGATCAAGACCAGTACACCCTCTTACTCGGCGATCGACCGGGAGATTAGTTTGCTCTTAATTGTAGTTTATAGAGCATTTAGCATCTTGTATTTCACAGCTTTGTAATGAACATTTGATAATAAAGGAATTTATTTGAACGTATTTCGCTCTGACCCTTTTTACTCTACGATCGTTCAATGCGATTTGGTTACGCTTTTATTTGTTCACTTTCCCATAAGGAAGGAACATACGTTTTCAAATATTTGCCATTAATGAACCTCATGTGCTTGGTGCCGTCTAAATCTTCCAAATGATAGGCTCCATCAGGCAATACATTATTCACTTTATATGGTCCTTCTCAATTGGGAGACCATTTGCCATACTTTGGATTTTTCCTATCCAAAGGGAGTACTGTTTTCCAAACCAGTTCGCCCAAGCTGAACGACTTGGCTATAACTTTTTTATTATAAAATTTAGTCATTTTTCGTTTTTGAACTTGCAATCTATCTAGGACGTCTAACTTTAATTCGTCCAACTCTAATAAGTTTTGAACTAGTGATTCGGTATACTCATCATCGCTTAACTTATATTGCAAACACACTCTGATCGATTGCACGTTGATTTCCATAGGCAAAACGGCTTCCTATCCATAAGTAAGTTGGAAATGAGTAATTTTGGTACTTGATCGAGGCGACGTCCTATAAGCCTATAAGGCCTTGTTCAGACATTCGTGCCAATTTCTGACATTTTCATCTATCATTTTCCTTATGATATTTTTTAGAATCTTATTAGAAGATTCTGCTTGCCCGTTGGATTGAGTGTAATATGGTGTGGAGTTTACTAATTTAACTCCAAACTCGCTTAAGAATTTATTCACTTGATCCCCATTTAACCTGTGATCTACCATCAAAGTTTGTGAAATTCCAAATCTATAAATGATGTGATCACGGATAAATTCTATGACATTCTTCTGGGTGATCTCCTTTAAAGGTACCGCCTCTACCCACTTACTGAAATAATCGGTTGCAACTATAAAAAATGTATGTTGCTTGGACGATGGGGGATAAATCTTCCCTATCAGGTTTATCGCCCAACCCTTGAACGATCAAGGTTTAATAATAGGTGTCATCTCTCGTACTGGCGCCCTTTGTGTTGGACCATGCTTTTGGCATGCTAAGCAACTCTTTACATACTGAACGCATAATTCTCATATCTTTGGCCAAAAATATCCACTCCTAATAATTAATCATCTCATCCTTTGGTCAGCTTGATGAGCTCCACATATCCCTTCGTGCACTTCAGTCATGATCATCCTGACTTCTTGCAAACTTACACATTTTAGCAG